TGTCAGCCCAAATTCCAGCGCTGTCAGTCGGAAGAAGAGCCGGAAAAGCAGAAGTCTCCGGTGTGAATTGCATGCCACTAATAAAGCAGTATATTTCTCCCTCTGTTGTCAGTGTGTCAGTTGTGAAATATTTTTCCAAGAAGCTTGAGAGATCAAGTCAACGCAAGGCAGGTAAGATTTGTGCCGGCATGATGGCCATCTAAGAAAAGCATGATTATTGAGATATATATATTATCCTCTTCCTTCCCCATGACCCAAGATGTTGTTGTTGGCCTTACCAACACGAAGCATCTCAGGAATTAACTTTTATCCTCCAATATTTTTGCAAAGCTGAAGCCTATTTTGGAAGAGACGGTGAAGCTTCAGGAATTAATGTTTGCTTTGTGAGTCGCTCTTACAAAGGAAAATGCTTAAAGTAGGACAGAGAGGGGCATCGCCTTGATACGAGCATCCAATACCTTACATGGCAGAAGACAGCAAGGAAATCTATTTTGGTCCTGGTGCCATTTAAAGATGGGGAGGGGGGAAAACCCCTGTATAGCTGGTATCTTGTTTCATTCTGACACATTTGAGCAAAATCTGTTGGTGTGGTTGCCTTTTCTGTTATCCTTTCTACAGGGGTGAAATGCTCTCGGTTTGGACCAGATCTGGTGATCTGGTAGCCATCATGGTGGGTGATTTGGTGGTCCCGTAGCGATGGCGGAGCAAAGCTCCACCCACTTGCCTGGGTGTCATTACTTCCCGGTTTTAACCAAGTGTTGTGGCCCATCAGAGGTCTGTGCAGCTAGTAGCTGATTCAGACAGTGAGGAAGCTGGTGTGGTGCTGTGCCAGGAGCCTGGGCAGCTGGCACTCGAGTCAGACAATGAGGAGGCTGGAGAAGATGTGGTGCCAGAGGTGGGGATTCAGCCAGGGCCTTCAGAACCTCCAGAAGCTCCCTTCACTTAAGGAGCCTAGATTTTTTTCTTGTCATCGTTGGAAACCTGGAGGGAACTGTGGGCCTTCAAGGCTGATAGCTCTTGATAGACCACAAATTTATTTCCTTTTGAAGTCATCTAAGTTAGTGGCCATCTTGTAGTCCTGAATTCCATGAGTTGATCATGAATGGTGGGAAGAAATGCTTTCAAATTTTTCTTCTCTAAATTTCCTTCCTGTCATTTTTATTGAAAACCTCACTATAATGTCTTCACAAGCCCCTGTCCACTTTTTCCATACCATCTCTGACTTTTGGTACCTCGGTCAGATATCCTCCCCACTTTCTCATTTAAAGGAAAATAATTAGGTTGGGAAGAGGGATGTGGTGGCTCAGTGGCTAAGACACTGAGCTTGTCGATCAAAAAGTCGGCAGTTCAGTGGTTCAAATCCCTAGTGCCATGTAACGGGGTGAGCTCCCGTTACTTGTCCCAGCTTCTACCAACCTAGCTGTTCGAAAGCAGGTAAAAAATGCAAGTAGAAAAATAGGGACCACCTTTGGTGGGAAGATAAAAATGTTCTGTGCACTTTTGGCATTTAGTCATGCCAGCCACAGGACCACGGAGACATCTTTGGATGGCGCTGGTTCTTCGGCTTTGAAATGGAGATGAGCACCGCCCCCTAGAGTCGGGAATGACTAGCACATATGTGCAAGGGAAACCTTTACTTTTATCTTTAATTAGGTTGGGAAGGAGTAGTTGGAACTGGCTGGAATTCATGGAGAAGTCAGAGAGAGAGAGAGAGGGAGGGAGGGAGGGAGGGAGGGAGAGAGAGAGAGAGAGATCTACTAATTTAATCTTTACCTTTATTAGCAAAACCATTCGGCTCACGACCAGTATATTTCAGCACGAGATTAAATTAAGCATTTTTCAAATATATTTATTCGTTTGTTTTTCCTAACTGGGATGGGTATCAAGAATACGTCAATTCTTGTTCATCTAAAGTCAGAGATGAAGTTGAATATCCAGAGAATTGGAAATGATGGATTGATCCCCCAAAACCATGAAACGAGTTAATTAGCAGGAGAAACACCACCTGGCATTGCTATCTGGACACGCTTCTTAGGATAATCAGCCTTGTCGTTCTGCTTCTTAATAATTAGTGATTTGTAGCCAACCAGTATCGCAAAGTGACTTTGCACTGTGATGAAATCCTTTTGATAGACAATCCTTGTTGCAAAACACGGATTACAAATTGGGGGCTACTTAAAGTTGCCCCCAAAGCTTAGAAGTACAGAACAGAACAGAATAACATAGTTGCAAGGGACCTTGGAGGTCTTCTAGTCTAACTGCCTGCTCAAGTGTAGAAACCCTACACCACTAACCCTAACCCTAACCCTACACTTACAACACTCCAGGATTTTGGATCATCAGCACCATGGACAGCGATCAAGTTAGGTTGGAAGCGAACTGAATTGAACAGTCCCTGTTTGAAATTTAGAATAGAATAGAATAATAGAGTTGGAAGGGACCTTGGAGGTCTTCTAGTCCAACCTCCTGCTTAGGTAGGAAGCACTACACCACTTCAGACAAATGGTTATCCAACATCTTCTTAAAAACTTCCAGCGTTGGAGCATTCACAACTTCTAGAGGCAAGTTGTTCCACTGATTAATTGTTCTAACTGTCAGGAAATTTCTCCTAAGTTCTAAGTTGCTTCTCTCCTTGATTAGTTTCCACCCATCGCTTCTTGTCCTGCCCTCAAGTGCTTTGAAGAATAGCTTGACTCCCTCTTCTTTGGGGCAGCCCCTGAGATATTGGAACACTGCTATCATGTCACCCATAGTCCTTCTTTTCATCAAACTAGGCATTAAAAGAAGGACTAGGGATGAGTGACATCACAGCAGTGTTGAGGTTGGATTTTTGACTTTGAAAGACTGAGCATCTTTCATTTATAAGCAGAAAAAAAAAATAACGGTGGTTAAAAATCTTGGAGCACTCCGAGAAGGACCAAATAAAAAATGCTTTCTGAGTTCATTCTGCGGCTGGATGGCAAGGAAGACAAGTGAAGAGGTCACCCAGAGTTTGATTCTGTGCTAAAAAATTAGATTTATCCAGAAGGATATTAAGCATCTTATGTCCAATGTTCTTTGGCTTATACTTACAGATCAAATGTTGTACACACGTCACACAATATTTCTGGAATACAAATTAGAGCAGTAATCGGGGTTGTTATAAGTCAAATGATTAAAGTTAGACTGGGGAAACTTTGATTTTTTATTTATTTTTTTTTAGTTTTAACTTAATTGCTATCACTGATTCCGCTCCCATTTCGAAGTCCCAGTTACTTTTCTTGTTGTCTCTTTATTGGATCACACAGCAGAAATAAGATTCATATATGAAACAAGGTCGTCTCAGAACACAATGCAGCTCCCTAGATTCCATTATGGGATGACATCACAGAAAGTAAGTTGAATTAGCCGGGAGGGAACAAATGTTGAAGCCATCCTGACAATCCAAGCCAATCCTGTAACAAATAGGACTGTGTCACAATATATGACATGGCTCATTTGACTTTATTAAGTTCTGAAATCGCTACGGGGAGATGAGTTCATTTTTATGAGAACTATGCTGAGTAGGGCAAGGTGTGCTGTAGATCTTTCAGGGGAGCAAGGTAGGGGAACGTACCCACCTTCAGGCTCAACCTGTCAGCGTTTCAGAAACTCTGCCACAACCGTGTTTTAAAGTTATCCCTCCTTTCTGTCCCCAAGGAGAACAAGAGTCAAATTAGACCCCATAAGCATGCCATTGAAGCCCTGCCTCTTGTGTGTATGTGTGTGTGTGATTATACACTAGCAAAAAATAAGCAGAGCTTCAATCACATTGGCTTGGAAACTCTGGAGGTTGAAGGTTATTCTGAAGGTTAAATATTTGGGAATCCCTTCTTGCAGATAAGAAGGTTTTGTACAAGAGGAATTCTAATAACAAACAATCCAGAAAGAGTTTTTGAGGTAGAATGTTGATATCTACAGTTTAATTGCCTTCTTGGAATATAGAATATAGAATAACAGAGTTGGAAGGGACCTTGGAGGTCTTCTAGTCCAACCCCCTGCCTAGGCAGGTAATCCTGTCCCATTTCAGACAAATGGCTGTCCAGTCTCTTCTTAAAAACTTCCAGTGTTGGAGCATTCACAACTTCTGGAGGCAAGTTGTTCCACTGATTAATTGTTCTAACTGTCAGGAAATTTCTCCTTAGTTCTAAGTTGCTTCTCTCCTTGTTTAGTTTCCACCCGTTGCTTCTTGTCCTGCCCTCAGGTGCTTTGGAGAATAGCTTGACTCCCTCTTCTTTGTGGCAGCCCCTGAGATATTGGAACCCTGCTATCATGTCTCTCCTAGTCCTTCTTTTCATTACACTAGACATACCCAATTCCAGCCACCATTCTTCATATGTTTTAGCCTCCAGTCCCCTAATCCTCTTTCTTGCTCTTCTCTGCACTCTTTCTAGAGTCTCAACATCTTTTTTACACCGTGGCGACCAAAACTGGACGCAGGATTCTATGGGTGGCCTTACCAAGGCCTTATAAAGTGGTATTAACACTTCACGTGATCTTGATTCTATCTCTCTGTTTATGCAGCCTAGAACTGTGTTGGCTTTTTTGGCAGCTGCTGCACACGGCTGGCTCATATTTAGATGGTTGTCCACTAGGACTCCAAGATCCCTCTCACAGTTACTACTATTGAGTGTTGACCATGACACTATTGAGTGTCACCACTATATGTATTAAGAAGAGTTTCAGAATGGCCCCTTCCTGATGGGTATAAGAAGGAGATGAAGAAAAATGCAACTAGACTTGCAAGATTCTGTGACTAGAGCCCGTCTTGATCAAACTTAGTTCTAGTCGCCTTGCAAAGTCTGTTTCCTGATCTGGATCACCTCAAAGGGCTGACAGAATCCAAGATCCCCGCTATGATAAGAAACTTGTATTTATTTATTTTTTCAACTGCACCAAAGAGTCAAATTCGTGTCTGTCTCTTCAGCAGGTCAGAAGATCCCCTTCGTGAAATCTTCGAGTCACCTAGAAGTAAGCTGATCTAAATCTTAGCTTTTCTCCCTTCAGCTATTCATACCGCAAAACTGAGGGAATGATTGTAAGTGCTGTTGTCATCCCTTGTGATGTTTGTTTGTCGTAGTTGTCAAAAAACGATGCCGTGTTTCTCAAGCTCAGCAACTTTCAGACATGTGGACTTCAACCTCTAGAATTTCCAAACCAGCATTCTGGGAATTGAAACTTACAAATCTTAAAAGTTGCTGAATTTGAAAAACACTGACCTAGCTCTCTGCTCTTTACCCTAAAGAAAAGCACAGGACCAGGATTTTAGAAAAGAGTTCCTCCAGCCTTTTCTTTTTGGGTGGGAGTTGGGAAATAAATAACAGAATAACAGAGTTGGAAGGGACCTTGGAGATCTTCTAGTCCAACCCGGAAACTCTATACCATTTCAGACAAATGGTTTATCCAATCTCTTCTTAAAAACCTCCAGTGTTGGAGTATTTACAACTTCTGGAGGCAAATTGTTCCACTGGTTAATTGTTCTCATTGTCAGGAAATTTCTCCTTAGTTCTAGGTTGCTTCTCTCCTTGATGAGTTTCCACCCACTGCTTCTTGTCCTGCCTTCAGGTGCTTTGGAGAATAGGTTGACCCCCATCTCTTCTTTGTGGCAGCCCCTCAGATATTGGAACACTAGTATCATGTCACCCCTAGTCCTTTTTTCCATTAAACTAGACATACCTAAAATGCTGGCTATTTATCAGTTTAGGCAAAAAGTAACAGATGAAAACTTATCAAAGAGAGATCCAACTTAAAACTAAGAAGAAATTTCCTGACAATGAATCAGTGCAATGTCTTGCTTCCAGAAATTGTGGGTGCTCCATCGCTGGAAGTTTTCCAGAAGAGACTGGACAGCTGTTTGTCCGGAATGGTAGAGTATCTCCTGCTACAACAGGGAGTTGGACTCGAAGACCTCCAAAGTTCCTTCCACTCTTGTTATTCTGTTATAACACTTTGTCCCTGAGGTGTAGGAAAGGCAGCATTGTTCCAGACCGATGGTCCAGTTGCTTGAGCTTGCAAGATGCATATTTTTAACACAGACTGACTGGAAAATTCAGTCATAGCTTCACCTAATTCAAATAGACAATGGACATTCAGTGAATGCATATGGCGCTTGGTATCCGTCTCATTAGAGGAGCTCCATAAGCATCAACCTCAATTAGTGTCATCCTTCCAGGAGGCAACTCGTGGCATTGTTTGAAACGCACTGACTTTGTTTTTTTGAAAAATTACAGGGGGAAAAAAGAAACATCCATTCCGGGGCCAAGTCTTCTTGGAGGAGGCAACCGATCCATTTAATGCAGTCTGCTCTGCCGTAATTAAACCTCTCTTTTGTACTCAACGCAAGAATGAATTGCAGATGGGTTAAATGATGGTCAGTTACAATTATGTACTTATTTTCCCCAGGATCAAAACAATGTATCCGAATCTTTTTGCACCCCTTCATTACTTCATTTGGATGCTTGATAGGCACCGTGTGAAAATTAAAACGATCAGTCTGCTTTCTGGCGTTCTGGTTGGGAAGAGATGTTGGGTTTTTTTTTCTCCCTCTTAATTAGCTTGCAGAATTAAAATCCTCGATTTATTTATTGCAAATATTTGTTTTTTCCGCCTACTAACCTTTACACACCAATATTTATTTTCCTCCGCTTTAGACCACTAACCCGAATATACAATCAGATGCTTTGCAGCTGCACTAAATTTCTATCTATGCAACCATGATGACTCATAATATCTAATGATTAAACACCAAGCAATCTTTCTGCAGTTTTTAATAGATCTCACAAAAAAAAAAGAAAAAAAACCCAGCAGGCCCTTAATGGCATTTACAATGGCTTTCTGGAAATGGCTCAAAACTTCGCATTTTCATGGGAGAATCAAGGTTGTATGTCATTCCACATAAAAAGGCTAAATTTTGGCACATTGTTAGCATATAAATTGTGCATTGCAAATTTGGAAGAAAGCTACCCATGTAGTAAATATGATCTGAAGAGAAACCAGAGTATATAACCATTGTAGTCATGCTGATGATGGGATGGTGTGTTCCGTTTGTTTGCTTTTCCTCCAAGGTCTGTAGAGATTCTCAGTCCTCCAGGTCCTGGTTGTCCCAAAGGTGCTTTTTCAGGAGGCAACTGGACTTCCTCGTGTTTTTTTCTTTGAAGACATTTCACTTCTCATCCAAGAAGCTTCTTCAGCTCTGACAGGATAGTGGGGAATGGAAGGATTTTTATTCCTTGCAGAGAACTGGTCATTTGCATCCTTTTAGAGGCTGTTCTGCCCCAGCTACGGACCCCAAAGAATACAGCACACACAAAGTTTGTACAAAATTTAATTTACTAAAATAACTCAGTCTTTTTTCAAAACAAAGGCTGTTAATAAACTTTCTTAACAGCCTACAAGAAACCAAAGATAAAGTAATCACAATCTTACTATGGTTGGCAGAAAGCCCAGAAGCAATTTGCAGAGAATCCAGACGCGAAGTAGAGTGAACTAAAGTTGTTCCCTGCAAATTGCTTCAGTCAGCATTCCTCCTTAAATAGGCTAAGGGAGTGGCCAATTAGCCCCAAGTCTTACTCTCGAGGAGACCTCCTCCTGAGGAGCCACTCCTGCCTTTTGGCAGGTCTGTGCGCCCGTGCATCGAGAAGAGGCTCCTCCTCTTCATCCTCTTCACTTAAAGGAGCTTCTGGAGGTTCTGAAGGCTCTGGCTGAATCCCTGCCTCTGGCACCACATCTTCTCCAGCCTCCTCACTGTCCGACTCGAGCGCCAGCTGCACAGGCTGCTGGCGCAACACCACACCAGCCTCCTTGCTGTCTGAATCAGCTACAATCTGCACAGGCCGCTGACGGGCCACAACAGAGGGTTGTTGAAGCACTTGGAGCTTTATCTGTGTCCTCAGGGTCAGCTGAGTAGCGCTCCTGCTTTTCCTCAAGGTATTGTTTGTTTACAGTTTGCACTGTATGGCTCTCTGCTGATCTTCAGATGTCATGAAGTTTGATTTGATGTAATAAACAAAGAAACATTTGGAGGGGGCACATTCGGGATCCCGAAGACCAGTTCTAGTTCTGAGCTCAGTGGGTTGAAAAAGGATTTCAAGTGAAACAATAAACCCAACCTTAAAACCATGTTGGACCATATGTTTTTTTACTGACTCTGTTGGTAGAAGCTTCCTCGGATGAGCACCATCAACGGTTTTAAATGCATGTCAGGAAAACAAACTTTGCATCCATCTGAAAAAAGAGTGCTCACCTGGGAAAGGTGTTTGAAATGTTGGTGCTCCGGTAAATAAAAGTCCATCTGCTACCGTAAATGGCTGCCTTAATTCTCTAAGGTTCCTCATCAGGCTTCAAGATGATGTTGATCAGAGTGATACCCTGTGTAGCAAATTTATGATCTAAGATGAAAAGAAATCTGTTTCCCTTTATACCCCAGGCTCCAAATCCCATCATCTTTTTTTGGTCGAAACTTTGTCTGAATGACAGTCTGTCATTATCTATCGAAAGAGCTACTTGTTGATGGCTCTGAATGGTTTTCTGAATTGCCTGACTATAAAACACTCACCTGGAAAAGAGCAAAAATGTTACAAAAGGAAGAGACAAGTTGTTCCCTGTCGCCGAAGTCAATTTTCTTTTAAAAAAACAAAACAAACAAAAAACAGTGGAGATACAGGAGATAAAGAGTTCCATAAAAAGCAGAGGTTTTCTTTTTAATTTTCTGAACCATAAATTGGTAACCGACACTTTAAAAAAAGCAAAAAAATAACCCTATCTTTTGACAACTTTAGAAGAAACTCTTGCGAGGAACACTAGCTGCACAGGTGTAATTTTCTCTCTTTGTGTTAGGAAAGAGGTATTAAAGGTATTAACGTTCCTGTGATCAGACTTTCCGGTCTCAAATATGCTTTTAAAGCATCTGCTTTCTGATTATTATTTTTTTTAGACCAATTGCTCAGATACACTTACAATCACTAAAACCTTTCAGGCGCAAACAACCAGACCGACACTTGTAGTGTTGAAACTAGCTACTTTATTGCTGTGTGCCAATTCCACAGGAATCATTCCAAACTGGCAGATTTTGCCTGGGAAAGACTAGATGAGGCTGAAAGGCATTTGGGGTGAGGGGCAGGGGTGAAATCCAGCAGGTTCTGGAGAACCGGTAGCAGAAATTTTGAGCAGTTCGGAGAACCGGGAAATACCACCTCTGGCTGGCCCCAGAGTGGGGTGGGAATGGGGATTTTGCAATATCCTTCCCCCAGGAGTGGAGGGGGGGAAATGGGGATTTTGCAGTATCCTTCCCCTGCCATGCCCACCAAGCCACGCCCACAGAACCGGTAGTAAAAAAAAATGGATTTCACCACTGGTGAGGGGGCAGACATTACCCTCTTGCATTGACATAATGAGTCTTGGCTAATTCCCTTCTTGAACCTTACTAGCGACTGGGATGCTTGCTCTCCAACAAAACTGTATGTCAGAGTTCCAAGTAAGACCCCCAATGAAAGAAGACTCCGAGACTCGAAGTTCCTCGACGTTCCTCAAAGTTCCATTTTATTAGAGATGTCATTTTGGCACATCTGGGAAAACCAGTTGTTTAGTTACTATAAAGGATTTACCTGATATCAAAGTCCAAGAGAAGAATGATGAAGCTGCACAACAAGAAGAAAAGGTTGAAGGGGAGGTGAAGGTTTAAAGGGGGGAAAAAAAGAGGGATGACCTTGAAATTTTGTTTTAGTTAACGCTGTTGAGGCATTCTGTACAACTCAACCATGTTAGCTAATTGAATACGGTCAATTTAGTCATCGTGATAATATATACATTTACATCTGCTTCTCGTTCGATATTTTGACAAATATACTGTCCAGTTTTTTACAGAAACATATTGTCTAATTTCTCATCTGAGTAACGCCTTCTCCATGCCACAACCCCAATGGCGTTTGGCAAATGCTTCTTTTCTACAGTAAAGAAAAAATAATAATCCATGAGCGCTCACACAGAAACACACTGGGCAAGATCAGCACCTCTTAATTGTACCAAGCTCAAGCAAGAGACCGAAGGGTGTGTAGAAGTCAGGATTTATATGAATTGTTATTGCTATCATCTCGGTCCAATGTACATAAACCACACAAGAGCTCCCTTACTGCTGAAAAATATCAAGCTATTAAAGGCAATTTATGCCCACACTTATCCCTGGAGAAAAGAGCTAAAGACTTCCTGTGATTCATGCTGGAAACTGGGATGCTACTATGGATATCAACCTAATGAGGAGCAGTCCAAATATTCATATCCATGCTCGATTTCCATTAATTATGAACTCATGGAGAAGAACTAGAGATTCAGCTCTCCCCTGGGACATTTATATTTCCATTAACATGTCCTAAGCCTTAGAGTGGACATATGTTGAGGTAAAGAAGGGTACCTGAAAATTCACCTTGACCCAATGGGATTAGCCAACTCCACTCAATCCAATGGAAAGGGCTTGCTATGGAATTCATCTATGAAGGAATTTGGCCTGATTGGGTGTAAGAGTAGAAACCTGTGGAATAGTGGTGGGATACTCCTGGTTTAACAACCAGTTCGGTGATTTTGCGCGTGTGCACCTGCGTGTACACATTTTGAAGAAATCTTCACTTCCGCGTTTCTTCGGAGGAGAAACACAGCTGAGGTGCAGCAATTTGCTCTGCCACACAAATCAGCTGAGAAGATAAAGGTAGGAAAATAGCGCAGGTGGGCAGGTGGGCCCATCTGATCGTTCGGACGAACCGGTTCGCTCCCAGCTGATCGTCAGAGCTACCACTTCACCCGAACCAGTCCGAACCAGTAGAATCCCACCCCTGCTGTGGAATATTCGATTGCCAAGGGTAAGATCTGTCCCACCCTTCTAGAACGGCCTCTTGTTCTGGCTAGCTTGGGGTTCTGATGGGGGTATTCTTGTTGGGAAATGCACAGCTAGACAGGGAGGAGGAATCAAGTGGGGAATTAGCCTTGAATCATTGCGCGGCTGCAAGAGATCCAGGGTTGACTCCTCCTAAGTTCCAGGGAACCTTATCTATCTGTTCCCAAGGGAACAGAACAATCCAGGGAGATTCCTGTATAATAGGCAGAATACAATAAAGTAGTTTAGTTGAACTCTACATGTGCGGATCAGAGGTGGGTTTCAGCAGGTTCTGACCAGTTCTGGAGAACCGGTAGTGGAGTCCGCGCATCGCTCCCAGATGGCCCTGGCCCATCTCTGCCTCCAACACAGAGCCCTCGCTGGGCCTTCCCCAGACTCAAGGACTGGCCCATGTTCCTCTCCAGCCTCCTCGCTGTCCGACTCCGCTGCCAGCTCCGCAGGCTGCTGGCGGACCACAACACTTTGATTCTATGGCCTCTCAGAAGTGGAATCATCTCATTCACCCAATTTGCCAGCCCTCTACTCATTCACCTCCATCTCCGCCATAAATCTGGAAGGATAAAATATGCGCCACACTTGCAAATGACTGCCAAATGCCAATACCCATAACCACTTTATTTTACACCAGGCTGCCACTTATTTCATCAGCTGTCAAGTCAGATTCGCTCGGAGCAGCATATCCGCACGTTATTTGGATG